TTTAGAAACTTTTGAAACTTTTATATGAGAATACGTAGATGTGAATTCTTTCAAGAGTTGACAGTAATAATCATGGGACACTGTTCTCCTATTCCCAGGGACTTGATTAAAAAATTCAAGCCACTAAAAAAATTTAGAGAGAAGAATGAGACATTTAATAGGCTGATATTTCTTTTAGTAGCCGTTTAGAAGCTTTCTGAACTAATGCAAGAATTCAGATAAATGTAACGATTTCCTATATAATGTACTAAACTCATTAGATTGTATTTATTTAGTCCCGAGAGCAGTATTTTCAACTTTGTTTTAATGAGAATGAATGGAAATTTCTGCTGACTCGAGGCATAGGTTGGGACAATCTGTTTTCTAATCCATGCACCTGGCTTCCTCCAAAGTCATGGGATGAAATTTGTCAAACAGAAGATTTTCCAGGCTCCACAAATATTCGTAAGGATTTTACATGACTGAAGGTTGGATGGAAGTTGGTGTCTGACAGCTCGGTTTGTTAACAGTCCTTTTTGTTTGCATTCATGAGCTGATTAACTCACTGAAAATACTGATTCTGTGAAAAGAAAGTGCTGTCCTTTTACATGGTATGTTCTTACATACATGAATGGTGGGGAGTAGTAGATTATTGGTAGTTTGTCATGAAGCCACTCAATTGAGGCAGTCTTTGAGAAACAAGAGGTTGCCTCAAACACAAAATTGTGGAAGTAGTTTCAAAACCCTAGCATTAGGAAACCACAGAAGAAGTAATAAATTGTCTGAGGAACAGAGCATGTTGACAAGATAGAACATTTAAAGCATAAAACGAAGAGATAGCAACATCAGCAAATCTTAGGACGAGCCAAAAGTCAACCTGACCCTACCACACTTGCCAACTATTCAAATTAGGGAAAGATTTGAGGAAAGTTTGAAAGTTTACAACGAAGAAGACCAGCAAACGACCACTGCCCATGATGAAGGCTGCAGGAACTCCCACCTCTAAACCTCCCCAAATTGAAGACTCCGCCTATATATGAATATTACAAGTAGATGTTGCAATTTAATGAATATGCATGTTTATGATGTAATTTTATGCTCAAAACTGTACAAAAGAGCTATGCTGATTGTACACGACAGAGTCCTTTGTCCAGGGCGACCTGGGGACTCTCCAACGCGTTGCATTAAAATACCTCCTGCTTTAAGGAAACAAATCTTCATCTCTAAAGCAGTCTCTCTGTGCTTTTTGGGGCAAAAATTCAGCTTCAGTCAGGTGGCTTCTGAATAGCAAGTCATGGCTTGGATCTGGATGGAAAAAAGGCAACAAAACCTGGAGTGGTAAGGTGATAGTGAAATTTGATAAATTTCAAGCAACCACTGTCCTTTGTCAGTCCATATATTTATTTTCCATGCTTTGAGGATGTCTTTGTATTCTATTATGTTTGCATGCTACCTGCTTGGATAC